TAATATTACCTTGCGTTCGGCTAGACTCGCCTAGGATTGCCTTACATAGGCCAGGTTACCGTGCATTTCCTCAGATAGCCTTGCATTCGCCTAGACTCGCCTTGGGTTGCCTTACATAGCTGGGAATTCCATCGGGTTCGCTCGGTTTGCCGTGGGCCCCCTCGAACTGCTTTAGATCATCTTACCTTGCTATGGGCTCGCGCCAATTGCATGGATTACTTCGGGTTCTGGATGTTTGCCGAGATCCCACTGGGAGTTTGCTGCGCAGCAATGAGAGATACGCGCGACTCAGATATAATATAACAATGCGGGCGGGTTCTGTTTGGTTTCAATGAGAACGCGCTGGGTTCACTCGCGACGTCGCGGGGCTCGGCATATCTGTTCCGTGCAATTTGCGGAGTTGCCCACTTATGTCCCGAGAACATCGGAGTTTTGAAAGGGTTGCCTGCGTTCGCGATGTCTTTGGATGTCGCTGTTGTGTATTTGGATGTCCTTGTTTGACTCGGATGTGTCGTTTGAAGTCTCTGTCGTGTCTTTGGATGTCGATGCTGTGTCTTTGGTGACTTTGTTTGTCTCTGGTTTGTCTTTGAATGTCGTTGGATGTCTTCGGGTGCATTTGGATGTCGTTGGGTATATGTGGATGTATCTGGGTGTCTTTGTTAAAGAACTGTGGCGACATTTAGCGGCATTCAGCGACATTCAGAAACATTCAAACAGATTTAGAAACATTTAGCGACATTCATACCTCTCAAGGTTCGCTGCCCCCGTGCCCCCAAGGGCGCCCGGCCCCGCCCCCCCCCCCCCCCGTCTTCCGCAGCGACCTCGCCGCGCAGAAGCTCATTCGGAAGCCGCCAACTGCTGCCCCATCGCCAAGCTCGGCCTGGGCCGATCTTCGGGCGCCCTGCGCTGCCCGAGAAGCGCCCGACAACGAAACGCGCCCTGTGGGCAAGGATAAAATGGGGGCCCCATCCGCTGCCCCCCCCCCGCCGCAGCCTCCCCAAGCCTCCAGGGGCGCGCCGTCCTGAAGGCGACCCAGGGGCGGGCAAGAATCGCGGCCCCGGCCCTGGCTCGCGGGCGCGGCTCTTGGGCCAGCGCCAGCTCCAGGCCCCAGGAAAAACGGGGACGCATCGCAGGGGCCGACGGGCGGCCGCCTCGTCGAATCTGCCCGCGCGCGCGGAGCGCGTCCGAGGTCGCCAGCGCCGAGGGCCCCCCCCCGCCCGACCGCCCCGTCGCGCGGGGGGGCAGGCGGCCTTCAGCGCGAAGCGCAGAACAGTGAGCTGCTTAAGCTGGCCGATAGCCAGCCTCTGGGCGCCCCCCAAAGTGGTGGATGCCATGACAGTGGCCACCCTGCAGTTGAACTAAACGAATATTTAACATATGTGAAAAAAACGAAAAATATGTGAAACATGGTTTTGCAATATTAAGGCATGTTTAAAACATGTTGAGACATTTGGAAAGCATTGGGCCACGCGCTTCATCCCCGTTGATCGTCGCCCTCAATCCCAGAGAGCCCTGGCCGAGATTCCTGCTCCACAGATGCTGCTAGCAAGGGCGCCCGCGCCCAGAGAGGGCAGAGACCGCGGAGACGTCCTTATGGGCCTCGCCACAACTGCCCTGGCGGACGAAACGCAGCGTCGCCCACCGTCGGCGGCGCGCGCTGCATTGAAAGGATTCGGGCAGATCACCTCTACAATATGCGCGCAAACCTTTCGCCAACTGGCGAGAGGAGAACATGGGGCCAAGCGCATGCAGGGCGATGGGCCGGCCCTTGCCCTGCAGATCCTGCGCGGCGGCGCGAGAAGGCATGGGCGGCCCCGCCCTGGCCGCGCGGCCCCCGCTGCCCGAGCCGCGCGAAGCAAGACGTCGTCGATCGCGCCATTGCCCCAAACTGTTGAGCCGGCGCCGGCATCCTCGCGCGGCGTCGCCAAAACGAAGAGGCGCGCCAAGCATGTCGTTCCCGAACACCCCGCCACAGGAGAGCCGTCGGGGCGCGGCGCGCGGCTGGTCGGCGCCTGCCAGGGCAGCCGACGCGGCGCGCGGCAGGCGGCGCAGTAGGCTCGGAGCAACGGCAAAGGGGAATGGGCATGCCGGCATGCCCAATCGCATCTAGCAGCTCGCCTGACTTCCGCAAGCTCAAAAAGAGGTTGCTCGTCTCTAATCTTGGCGCGCTGCGCGCGTGGGCCGCGAGCGCATTGCGCGCCCGCGCGCCGTTGCCACTGGTTGCGCTAATACTCGCGCTTCCAAAAATCCGCTCGCCGACCGAACGACCCCATTCAGCGCGCGGCCCGCGACGGAATCCACCCCGCGCTCTGGATCAGAGCGGCAGCGGCCGACTGGGCCGCGCCCCTGCTGCGGCCCCGTCTTAAAAAAACAACGGCCACGGGGCCCCCGTTAATGGGGGGCCCGCCCCCGGGCCGCGAGGACGTCCACAATGGCTTCCGCCAATGGCCCAGGTAGCTGCAGAAGCAAACGCGCGCGGCAGACACCCCTGCCAAACCCCGCCTCCGGGCTGAGAGACGCCGCCGCGGGGCCTCTTTATTGCCCAGAGGTGGGCAACAGCTGCGCGGGACCTTCCCGGCGGACTCGACGCGCGCGGCGGCCGCCAACGGGGGGCCCTGACCAGAAAAAAACCAAAGACGCAACGTGAGCCACGCGCAACGGAGACCCAGGGCGGGCAAGACTCCGGCACCGCGCTCCCTTGCAGGCCATGACCTGGCCAGCCACGCCGCGCACTCGGAGCGCCGCGGCCGAGCGGGGGCCAGCGGGGGCATCGCGCGCGGGCGCGCTGGACTGACAGCGGCAGTCTAGACAGCTGCCCAGCACGGAAAACATGGCACTTGCCATGGCAAGTTGGCCCTGGAGGCCGAACAGGGCCAACGCCTACATGGTCTTGCCCACAGCGCCTGGCGCTAGCGTTCGGCTTCGACGCCCCAACCACCTGCAAGTACACGAGGAAAGACTGCAAGCACTTCGCTGGCGCGGCCCCAAAATCTACACTGAGCACCAACAAGACCTGGCGTCGCGTGGCCGCCAACAGATCTCAGCAGGACTTGGCAGCCGGGGAAAAGAACGCGCGCCTGACCACTACTCTCCCGGACAAGCGGACATGGCGGAAATCGGCCGAGCCAATGTGTCCCTTGACCAGGGCCGCTGTGCCTCCTGAGGTGCCCCCGTCGCCTGCCCCCGCGCGCGCAACTGGCCCTGTGCGCCTGCGAGCGGGGCGCGTCCTCCTTCGCGGGCAGCGGGCGGTGTTCTTGGAAAGATGTGCAATCGAAAGCGATTAACTCGGCCCCCCTACTCCACTTAGAACGCCCCGTGGCCCACGCGCGCGAATTTTAACTGGCCGCAAGGAGGTCCGACCGCCGCGCGCCAGACAGCGGCTTCGCCTTAAGCCGCGGCGAGAAACTCCGAGAAGAATCGCGCGCGCCAGAGACCTCGACCGCCTGCGCATGCGCGGCCCGGGTGCGCGGCTGGGCTCGGGGGAAGGCATCGGCCGCCCGCGCGCCCCCGGCCTCCCCGGCGGGCCCGCTGCCCACCCCCTTCGGGGTCTGCCATTGGCCAAAACCGAGGGGCCCCAGAAGGCGGACGCACGCCCCGAAAACGATGCTCGCCGTGTGTATATATATATATATATATATATATATATATATATATATATATGTTTATATACATATATATATATACACATAGTTATGCATATATATATATATATATATATATATACAGCACATCATCTAGCCCATCGTGTGGCTGCGACGAAGAGATCTGGGAGGAATCGCGCCCGCCCGGGGCATCGGCCACAATCGCGCGCGCGGCCCATGCGCGAGGCTGGGCTCGGGGAGGGGCGCCGGCCACCAGCGCGTCAGCGGTCTCGCACTCGAGCCCGCCCCTCCATTCCTGCGGGGTCTGCCCAGGGCCACCGCCAAACAGGTTCCCTGGGCGGCGGGCGCGCGCGCCCGAAGTGGCCGCCTCTCTGGGCCTCGGCCCCCGCCTGTCCAGCAGCGCCCTGAACGTGTCCACCACCCTATCCAGCTGCGCCCAGTCCTCATCCACGAACCCCCCCCCCGAACTGGCTGAGTCCGCGGCGCCGGGAAGGCGCGGAGACGGCCGCGCCGCCAACGACCTCGATGCCGCACCTCGCGCATCGAGCCCGGCGGGCCGAAGCGCCGCCCAGGGCCCCGTCTGATGGGCGCCGCGCCAACGTGATACAGCACCTCACAACAAACATTATTCGCGCCACTTTCGCCCAGACAGCGCGCCGATCTGAATCTTTCGGGCGGGCGGCGGCGGGGGGCGGCCCGCGCGGGGGCGCAGAACAAGGCCCTAAATGAGTTGTTTAGGTGTCCTTTGGGTCGCCTCCTGGCTCCAACGGGGCCCATTCGAGGCGCTGTTCATGCGGCGCCCCTCCGCGTCGCCCCCGCGACCGCCCGCCCGAGTCTCGCGGCGCGCATTCCACGTTGACCGACCGCCCCAACGCGCCAGATTCGGGGATGGACAGACATCCTTTAATAAAAACGTGGCTGAGTGAAAACGACCGCGGGCCCAAACCTGGCGGGGGCTCTGTCCGCCCCCGACACGCTCATCCAGCAGCGACGGGCTCCATCCCCCACTGCCCCTGGCTGATCCGAAGGCTGCAAACTTGGCGGCGGCAGCCCCGCCGAACCGACGCCCCCGCCTGACATGGCAAAAAAGAGCCGACCTCAACTGCGGCGGGCGCTAGTGAGAGGTGGCCCAGATGATGGATGAATCGGCGGTGGACAAACCTCCCTTTAGCAAACCTCCCTTAAGTGAAAACGGCCTGGGACCGAGACCGACGGACCTGGACCCGCAAAAATGACGGCCGCGACGCCCCCTCGGGAACCGGAAACGGCCAATTCGCTAGTCGACGTGTCAGGGTAGGAGGTCTGTCCACCCCCGAATGCAGAAAGGGCCCGCAAAGCTCTATTTGGGGCCTTTGGGAGCCAACTGGTGCTCGAAAGTGGCCCGAAAAAAAAAACATGTATGTTTCACGGCCGTTTTCTTCACCCGCCCGCCCGATTAACCCAGTCAAAGTTGATGTCCGACTCATCCGATGCCGCTCGAACTTCATCGATAGCTGCTTAGGCCTCTGCGCTATCTGGCCTTAGCGGCGACCTTGCCTGCAGCCCTTGACCTGGCTGGAGCCACGTGGCCAGCAGCAGGAACGGCAGCACGAGGCGCCACAGGCTGCGTGGCGCAGCCGCTGGACGAGCTGCCTTCTCCTTGGCCTCCCCCTGCCGCCGCTTGGTCAACTGCGACACGTTCATTCTCGTCCCGGGGAGCACGCTTCGCCGAGAGGCGCCGGCATCTCGCGACCTTCCTGCCGCAGGCGCTGGATGCTGCCTGCGCTCGGTCCAACAGCTGAGGGGATGGGCGCGTGCAGTTCCTTGCCGATGCTGGCCTTGAGCTGGGTCCAGCGCTTCTTGTCCTTCTCCTCCACCTCGAGGTCGGTGCAGTCAAAGGAGGCCCCCGTCCACGATTTCGACAGCGTCGACCGACTCGGCACTGAGGATATGGAAGAGGCTGATCTGCGAAAAGCCCGCCCCGACTGTCGCTCCGCTAGATGCATCAATGCGGGCCTCTTGCTGAAAGTCCGCCCGCCCGCCTTGGCGAGCTCGGCCGCGAGCTCCTCCTGCCACGCCTTGGACGCCTCCGTATCTGCAACAGCCGCCGCAGCTGTCGCTACCATGCTCTCATCGAAAAGCCAACGCTGCGCCCGAAGACGCCCCCGAGAGGGCTCAAAAAGCCCTGAGAGGCCGCTCAGACCCGCCAAAGAAGCCTCAAGAGTCCCCAAAACGGTGTCCCAGAGGCCTCAAGAGAGCCTCCAGGAGTTTCCCTTGAGGCCCCCACGGTATCCCAACGAGCATGCAAGAACCCCAAACCATGCCACAAAGAAGGGCCCTTGAAGGGCAGCATGGGCGACACATCGAGCTCTGATATGATGCAAGTACGGGCAATATGACTCACGTGGTACTTGCGTCGTAGCACTTGAAGCACACAAGCGACATGCTTCAAGTTACAAGTGCTAGATGCCATTTAATGTACACACTCGATCTGAGTTCAGTTGTTCTTCGCTGAGCTTACTTGAACTATACACGCGATATATATGAAGTGGTGGTTGTTTGGTGTTACTTGAGGCATGCAGACGATATTGCTCTAAGGGGCCTTGCCTGGTGCCACTTGGGGCAAGTATGCAGTCTGACTACAGACGATGCGTTCTACTTGAGACATGCATATGTCATGGCTCAGCTGGTACTTGCTTGGTACCACTAGAAGCATGCAAACTCGGTAGCTCACGTGGTACTTGCCTGGTACAAGGACTAATCCAACTTGAAGCATACCGGCGGCATGGCCCATTTGCACCGTTTGGGTTATACATGCGATCAATTTTCAAACGGTATGGCCTGAGTGGTACGGCATGGGCCGTCTGGCCATGCAATATGCCACGCGAAGCGGCGTGAATTGTCCTGTTCAGGTCTTCGCTCAGCCCCTCCAGTAGGACGTTCAGAAACTCCTGCGCGTCGTGCTGCTCGAACCCCTGAAACTGCTCCTTGAAGCTGGACACAATGTCCTTGAACTGCTGTGGCCGCACTGGCCCGGAGCCCCGCTTCGCGCACTCCTCCACCTCCCACACTAATCTCGCAAAGGCCTGTAGGGGGGAACCGGCTACACGCCAGAGACCTCACACGTGGGATCACGCCGCATCGCCGATCGAACGCCAACGCCAGCGTGGAGAACATCGGCCTCTACATCGCGCCGCATCGCCGATGCATCGGCGATCCTCCGACCCCGCCTACTCGGACCCTCTCCTCAGACCCCCGACGTCATGATTTTTTTCATAATGTCGACCCTGAGAGGTCTCAACCCATTCCCTGGGACAAGTTTCTCATCCTGAGTCGATTTTTGACGGTCCCGAGGCCCGATGAGGGCCCCCAAAGGCCGAATATATATATATATATATATATATATACAGTGAAAACGTATAGTAAGGACGCGTGGTAAGGACGCAAGACCCTTGGAGGCCGAAGTTGAAGTATTCTGGGCGGCAGGCGGCAAAACCCCCAGGGAACCTGAGAAACTGGCCTGCGAAAATTGCTAGGGACGGGCCTCAGAGGCTGAGGCAGGCAAGGACCCAAGGGTACCCTTGAAAAAGTCGTTTGTCCTTACTATGCGCGCTGACTGTATGTATGTACGTATGTATGTATGTATAAATATATTTATATATATATATAAATATATAAAAGGGAAGGAAAAGACTCCCGTCATTACTTTTTCATTGCCCGAGGGGGTCTGGGCGTCTGGGAGGGCTGGCCACACCAACGCCGAGCCCTGGCCTAGCGCTTTTCCCAGGCCGAGCGCCGGTGTACTTACTGTGCGTGCCCTCTTGGCCTATGCTGCCCCCATCGTACTTGAGGACTGCATCGCAGAAACAACTTCGAGCACCCAGAAAAGTATCGAAACAGGGTCGAACGAGTCTCGCCTCCCAAGGCCTGGCACGTGAAAGCCCTCCAATTTTTCTGTACGTTCCCGGTGCTCGAAATTCTGTCTGGTAGTCAATGCTACAGTTGTGGAAGCCACGACAATGGACATCCTAAGCAAAAATGTGTTGAACATGTCAGAGAATGTGATCCAAATGTTTACAACATGTTGTTCAAAATGCTCTGAACATGTTGAGAACATCTTCTAGACATCTGGGAACTATTTGGCAACATGCTTCCTCTCCATTGATCGTCGTCCACAAGGCTAAAGTATCGGGCGTCGGCAGAACTGGGTTTGGCGGGGCCTGGTTTGGTAATGTGTACTGAGGGACGCACCCCCCCCCGCCCCGTTCCACCAACTGGAACTGCCGTCAACCGAAAAAACACCAGCTACGGCAGACCTGGTTTAGCGATTCTGGCCAATGGATGGGCTCCAGGGGCCTTCTACTAACCTGGCCCCCTTACCTTTAAGACGGGCGTGTCCCCCTACAGGGGGATCTTGGGCGAAAAAGTAAAACACCCAACACATGCCCCAAAATTGTCAAGTCTAGTCAAGAGATCTTCCCCGTATTCTGTTTTGTTTCGGCTGTGTTTGAATAGTCCTCCTGCAGAGGGACAGGCCCGACTTACGACGAAGGCCAAACTGGAGCAGCGTGACCCTTGGCCAAGAACCAGCTGCGAGGGCGCGCGCGCTGATGCTGGGCCCAAGGGTGGGCCTCTGGCCAGGGCGACGTCGGAGCGTGTCCCTCGACAGGAGGAACCTCCAAACGCAGTAAAAGGACTAGCCTGGGGGGCGATTCTCCTGCAACTGAAGTCGGCTGGTTTGAGTACTGGATTACCTACCAGACCACCCCAACCCAACACGAAGACCCGAATTTCGGGTTTGGGGGGGGGGGGGTAAGGGTTCCACATGTGTTTTTTCGCTTCTTCCCGACCCCCCCCATTGGAAATCGAGAGTAAATCTGAGCCTTCGGGCTGGGTTGGGGTGGTTTTGACCACCCTCGCTTCCAAGAGATGCCAAGCGAAGCCAGACTGCGGCCTGTACTGGTCAGGCCGCTTGACGAGGAGGCGCGTGGTATGTCTTGGTTTTGCCTGGAAGCGAAAGCGGGGTAGGTAATTCACGCTCTGATTTCCTACAACAAAATTCGACTAGTTTGAATACTTCTGGGGTCTTCACTCTTCTTCGTCCAGAATCCCCCTGCAAGGGGCACGCCCGACCTGAGGCCAGGGTCGGGGCGGGTGCACAGAAGCCGGCGCCCTCCCAGCAGGACGAAGGGGTGCTGCCGCGATGCGACTGGCTCTGGCTCCGGGAGCATGGGGCCCAGACCTTCTAGATGATACAAGCCTCCGTGTGGATAAACAGAAGGATACATCCGTGTCGACTGCAAGTCCGATCCTCTCCCCTTCGTAGACGAACGCTTGAACCAAGAGCCTCCCTCCTCCCCATTCCACTCGCCAGACCTGTCCTGGAGCGCGCTCCGACCACAATTCCGAGGCGGTAGGGCAATGGACAAATCATGACGGGAGGTTATTCCGTTTCTGCTTTCGCTGGAGGCCCTCACCGGAACTCGGGCCGTCAAAGAACGACTCGGGATGAGAGGCCAGCCCCGGGAAATGGGTCGAGACCTCCCCGGGTCGACGGCGTGAAAAAAGCATGTCGTCGGGGGGTCTGGGATGCGCCCGGGCTCTGGCTCCGGGGGAGCCAGAGGGCGGCCCCCGCTGCTGCACGCGTGGGGCACGTGGCCCTCCCTGGGGGATCCTGGGAACTCCAAGAAACTTCCCATCCCCTTTCAGGGCACGAGACCCTGGAAGTTCGACAGCGCATCCTCCTTGCAATTTCAAGAAAGGGAAGTTCCTGGAACCCTGGAAGCTGGAACAAATTCTGGGAGTTCTACGCCCCCTTTGCTTCAAGCCGGGCGTGTCCACCTACAGGCGGATTTTGTGCGAAAAACTTCAGATGGTCAAAAACAAATGCTCAACGATTCAAGCAATCACTTGAGAAATCGTCCCCAGACTAAATTTGGTTCCTCCGGTAGAGGGACACGCCCGACTTCATTACCCCTGGCTTCCCGACCCCAGGCCTGGGCCAACTGCCCCCGGGAACCCAGCGCTGCCGTCGTGTTGAGGTCCTGCTCGTACTGCCGCCCGCGGAAGTACTCTGGCAGCAGCGGCGCGGCGAGCAAACACTGCAGCGCGGCGTTCACGCCGGCGCCGCGCCGAGGGGTGCAGCGAGGGGGGGCGGGGCCTTCTCAGAGGGCGGCGGGGCCTCTTTGGACGCCCAGATGTTGTCCCAAACCAACAGCGGCCGCTGTTGGGCAGGCGGCCTCCTATCACAAATAGACGCAGGCCGCGGCGGCGTGGACAGCGAGTCCTGTTTAAAATGAACAAGAACTGCTGTTGGGCATTGTACCCATTCCTGGCCATCGCTCGGACGTCCATGCCCTGTGTTTTTTCTGGTTTTGTGCGCGCTTCTTTCGCCAAATGATCAAGGATGCTCCTCGATGCTCCTCGCCGAAAGAAAAAACGCACACGTCCGAGCGATGCCAAGATTCTTTCCGTGCCCACGCCAGTCGTCCCGAGCCCTCCCCCCGACACCGAGGAATCCGAGAGGGGGGCAGCGCCCGGCGAGCCCAAGAGCGACGCCCGCGCGACGGGGCCGCGCTCCCAGGGCCGCGGCCCCTCGTGCAAGGACGCCGCGCCGGCGCTCCCGAGACCGCGCTCCCTCGTGATCTTCGCTGTGCGTCCGCGCTCCTGGGGCCGCGCTCCCTCCTCCTCCGCCTCCTCCTCCTCCTCCTCCCCCTCCAACTCCTCCAACTCCTCCTCCTCCTTCTTCTTCCTCCTCCTCCTCCTCCTCCTCCTCCTCCTCCTCCTCCTCCTCCTCCTCCTCCTCCTCCTCCTCCTCCTCCTCCTCCTCCTCCTCCTCCTCCTCCTCCTCCTCCTCCTCCTCCTCCTCCTCCTCCTCCTCCTCCTCCTCCTCCTCCTCCCCCCCCCTCCTCCTCCTCCTCCTCCCTCCTCCTCCTCCTCCTCCTCCTCCTCCTCCTCCTCCTCCTCCCTCCTCCTCCTCGTCCTCCTCCTCCTCCTCCTGCTCCTCCTCCTCCTCCTCCTCCGCCTGGGCATCCTGGGGTGCCCAGGCCGCTCAAGTTCTGCAAGGCAGGCGTTTCGCTCGAGACGTCCGCAGATGTTCGGCGCTTATGGCGCGCCCTCCTCGCTTCTCCCGTGCCTTCTGCGAGGCCCGCTGTGCCTTCGGCTCGGAAGGCTCCTCCGAGGCCAGTGGCACTCTGAGCCTTTCGCGAGGGCCCGCCTGCCTCACGGAAGGCAAGCCTGTTGCAACGCATGGTAAGCACCGGTGTGAAGGCTTTCTTCTCGGCGGTGGACAAACCTCCCTTTCATGAACACGGTCTGAGACCGAAAGCCGACGGACCTGGACCCCGAAAAATGAGGGCCGCGACGCCCTCTCGCGAACCGAAAACGGCCAATTCGCTAATCGACGCGTCAGGGTAGGAGGTCTATCAACCTCCGAATTTCCGCGGGCAAAAAAACCTTGAAGGCAAAACAGCTGTTGCTGGAAGCAGTTAACTTTTGAAGGCAATGGGATCACTGAGTGCAACAAACTGTACCTTCAGGATGGGGGAACCACAAATTACCGACACCGCTACTCCCCGGACCTCTCCCCGGGTGCGTTCTGACCAAAACTTCGAGAGGAATGCAGCGGTGGCGACGAAGGCCTCCTGGGAGGCCCAAAAAGGGAAAACGAGGGATTGGTAGCGGTATGGGAAAGTCGACCCTTGAGCAGAAGAACATCCATCCTTCACGGACATGCGACGCTCCGCTGGCCAAAACGCACAGCGCATCCAAGGGTACCGTACCCAAGGTGCACCAGAACATTCCACAGACACGAAGAACACCAAGGCGCCCTCCCCGAACCGGCCCTTCGATCTTACACCTCGGTCTGGCTGTACTCTTCCCTCCTCGGACAGAGAACACTCCCCCCCTGGGCGAGCAGGACAACTGTTGAGGCACCGGAAAGAACTTTCCGACTCCGCAATCGGCCCGTCGGCCAGTCGGGGAGTCGGCCAGCCGACCAGTCGGGGAGTAGGCCAGAGACCCAGACCCAGACCCCCGACGTCATGATTCTTGTCATCACGTCTCGCCCCATTCCCCGGGACGGGTTTTCCGTCCTGAAGCGTGTTCTCTGCCGGTCCTGAGCGCCGGCATAGGGGCCCCTGAGCGCCCCCAAATTGGCGCAACACCTCCCGTGCCATGGTTCGTCCTTCCCCGAGGGGGTCGGGGGACGGGAGGGGGGGTCGGATACGGCAGGTTCGTGTCGTGCCGACCCCAGCGTTGGTTTTTGACACCGCAGGGATCGTTCAACCTTGAACGATCGGCCGTCTCCGCAACGTCCGATCGTTCAACATCGATCGATTCTGGGCGGCCGGCGGCGTTCAAGCTTGAACGCCCGCGCTGGGGTCGCCGCTGGTCGACACGACGCAAACCTACCGTACCTGAGCCCGGTGCCCCAGAAACTGTCCCGGGGCCCTGGGCGCGCCGCCGCATGTAGCACGTGTTCCCTAGGTTCTGCAGGCCCACGGGCGCTGGCCCGTCCGCCGGTCGAGCCCCGCGGCCGCCCCGCGCCCAGCGGCCCTGCCACGCCGCGAGGCCGAGGGCGAGCCCCCGGCCGCGCCGCGGCGGCCGCAGCTGCAGGCGGTGCCCGTCGATGAAGCCCAGCCCGTGCAGCGTGGTGCGCTCGTGGCCCGCGGCCCAGGGGATGGTCTCGCTGAAGCGGTGGGAGATCACCACCTGTTGGCGGCGCGCAGGGGGGGGGCATGGGGGAGGAGGAGGAGGAGGAGGAGGAGGAGGAGGAGGAGGAGGAGGAGGAGGAGGAGGAGGAGGAGGCACCCCCGTGGCAGCCAGGTGCGCCGAGCAAGGGAAACTAGACAAGGCCTGGGAATCCCAGGAAGCAGTCTCGTTCTGAGAAGCCTTTCCCCCTTCCACGACTGCACCTCTGCGCGTGGCCGAGGCTCGTCGGTGATCAGGGACGGACCCTGGCGCGAGATGGCGCAGCGACCTCACACGGCGGCCTGTTGTGCGGGCCGATGGCGAGGGCATGCGCCTGCGCGCGGCCTTGCGCGGGCAGCTTGCGCGCGAACGCCGGCGAAGACGGCCCGGCTGTCTTGCCCAAGGTCGGGGCTAACAGCGATGTTGCTTCTTCATGGTGATTTTGGGAGCCAGATTGTAGGATATCGCGAACCACACTTTCCTGCATGTCCAATCCGCGAATGGATCGACCGAAAACGACACAGCAAAATGCAGGAAAGCACGAGCCACGCGGTGCCAACATATCAAACTCTATGTCACAGTTACCTGCATCGCCGCTAGCCCGTCTACGGCTTGCGTCGCTCACCTGGTCTACGTGATCTGGGATGCCGCAGAGCTTGCAGGCGTCCTGTTTCACCTCGCACAGCAGCGAGGACCTGCTGGCCTCCATGTCGAGCAGCGGGGCGGCGACGCCGTCCACCGACACGCGCAGCCTCAGTGGATACATCTCCAGCTCCCGCCTGCCGTCCAGCTCGATCACCCGGCGCGGCAGCGACCTTGGCGAGCCGGAGCACCCATACCACGCCTCAAGCGCGATCCATAGGGGAACGAAAAATTTCATAAACATAAAACTCGGAGGTCCGCGCGGAGTTCTTGGATCCAAGCTGGAACCCCCTCCCTGGCGCGCTCCGCGCGCCAGGGACGGCGCCCTAGGCACCGCCAGGGGGCCCCGGCGCCGATCCGAGAAATCCGCGCGGACCTCCGAGTTTTCATGTTTATGTCCTTCTTCGTTCCCCTAGATCCAGGTCGCCTCCGGCACAAGCTCATAGTGCACCGAGTGTACAAGGTTCGTCTGGAGGCCACCTTTAGGTCGGGCATGTCTCCCTACAGAAAGATCTTGGACAACAAAAAAAACAGTGTCCAAAAGTAGGCAACAAGTTCTCGAATAATAATCCCATACTATTTTGACTATTCTCGAATACTCCTCCAGTGGAGGGACATGCCCGACTTAATGCTAGAGGCCACCTTCGCTGGTCACCAGCTCGGAGTTGAACTCCCCCGGCGGGCCCAGCGTGGCCCCGCTCGTTGTGCTGACTCCCCCCGCGCGCGCTGTTCCGTGGTGCGCCCCCGTGTGCTCGCACCACTTCTGCCACCACTTGGCCGACAGCACGTACCTACGCTTAGGTCGGGCATGTCCTCCTCCAGGCGGATTTTGGACGAACAATAAAGAATACTCCAAAAATACTCCATAGTGAATTATAACGGAAACATCGTCCACAGACTATTTGTTACTTTGAATATTCTTCCTGTAGAATGACAGGTCCGACTTAAACTAACGGCGAAACCAGGACAGGGACAACATCGGACAGGGATCGTCAGGGATCTCGGAGATCCTGCGGTTCTGGTTCTGGAAGGGTGTACCCCCAGACTCCCGACGTCATGATTTTTTTCAGAGCGTCGACCCTCACTGGTCTCGACCTATTCCCCTGGACCGGCTTCATCCTGGATCGTTATTTGACGGTCCCGAGACCCAGTAAGGGCCTCCAGAGGCAGAAAAGAGATAAAAGCCTCCCATCATGGTTTATTCATTGCCCGAGGGTATCTGGGTATCGGGCGCCGCGGCCATCTCAGAACTTTCCTCGGGAGCGGCCAAGAGGGGGGTGTCTAAGAGAGGGGGGTGCAAATCATGACCGGCGGCATGTGCGCGGCCCAGCGGGGGGGCCAGGGACGTAATGGAATAAGAAGAGGCGCCATGAAATTAGGGGAAATATCTTGGCCCACGCCATGATATCCACCCCCCCCTAGTCATCACCCCCCTCTTTTCCGCCCCCGAATTCCTGCACGCTCTGGGATGACGTTCCCGAAAGCTCTCGGACGGACTTGCCCCCGTCCCGGCCTTGCCCCACCCGAATAGATCGGCTGCGCGCAGGAGTGACCCCAAGCAAGAGTGGCCTTGAGTGCGCAGGTTGCCGAGACCCCCTCGAAACATTGAAAAAATCATGACGGGAAGCTTGTCCCTATGTTCGGCCTTTGGAGGCCCTTGCCGCGCCTCGGGGCCGTCAAACGACGACTCAGGATGAGAAACCGGTCCGGGGGAACGGGTCGAGACCTCTGAGAGTCGACCTTCTGAACAAAATCATGACGTCGGGGGTCCGGGGAAGTGGGCGCAAGGTGGCCAAATCTAATCGCGCTCGGCGATCGGGGGGGCCGCGGTGAGCCCGCCGCCAGTCAGGTCCCTCTGGCGAAGGGTCACTCAGCACGTGCAGCCGAGGATACCAGAGGTCCCCCACGCTGCCCGGGCGGCTGGACTCGAACTTGCTGTGGAGGCGGTCGACGATCTCCCGCTCCTCGGGGGCGGCAAAGATCATGGCCGGCGGTAGGTGCGCGGCCCAGAGGGGGGGGGGCCCCCCGGGGACGTACTCAGATAAGAAAGGACGCCACGAAATCTGGGGAGATATCACGGCCTCCGCCATGATATCCCGCCCCCAGGTGGTCATCACCCCCCCTCGGCCGCCCCCGGCTATAGGTCGACGATCTCCCGCCCCGGACTCCCGACGTCTTGATTCTTTAATGACGTCAACCCTCAGAGGTCCCGACCCATTCCCCGGGACTAGCTTTTCGTCCCGAGTCGTTTTCTGACGGTTCCGAGGCCCGGTGAGGGCCTCCAGAGGCCGAAAACATGGCAGAACCTCGAGCCATGAACACCTTCGCAACACGGGGTCCCCAGAAGTCCCGATCCTTTCCCCAGACCGGTGCTTGGAGCCCGAACCGTCTTTTGACGGTCCTGAGGCCAGCGAGGGCCGCCCGAGGCCGAAGATGGCCAAAGACCTCCTCCTCCTCCTCTTCCTCCTCCCCCTCCTCCTTCTCCCTCCTCCTCCTCCTCCTCCCTCTCCCTCCTCCCTCCACCCTCCACCCTCCTCCCCTCCTCCTCCCTCCTCCCTCCTCCCTCCCTCCTCCCTCTCCTCCCTCCCTCCTCCCTCCTCCCTCCTCCCTCCTCCCTCCTCCCTCCTCCCTCCTCCCTCCTCCCCTCCCTCCTCCTCCTCCCTCCTCCCTCCTCCCTCCTCCCTCCTCCTCCTCCTCCTCCTCTCCTCCTCCTCCTCCTCCTCCTCCTCCTCCTCCTCTTCCTCCTCCTTCTCCTCTTTTTTAAACGGCGCGATCACATCTGGGGCGGCGGTCGACGACCTCCCGCTCCTCCCGCGGGTCGGGCGGCTGCAGCTTCAGGTCCACGCGCAGCGCGCACGCCAGGGAGCGCACCTGATGGGCTCCTTTTGTCCACCACCATGGGTAATGGGTAGGAGAGGGAGAGGAGGAGAGAGGAGGGAGGAGGAGGAGGAGGAGGGAGGAGGAGGAGGAGGAGGAGGAGGATGAAGAGGAGGAGGAGGAGGAGGAGGAGGAGGAGGAGAGAGGAGGGGGAGGAGGAGGGGAGGAGGAGGAGGAGGAGGAGAGAGGAGGGAGGAGGAGGAGGAGGAGGAGGAGGTGGAGGGGAGGAGGGGGAGGAGGACCACGCAGTTGACCATTGGATTGTTTTTGAAAAAAGGGGGATCACGCCTGCCCTTCAGTCAAGGGAGGCAGGGGAGGACAGCTCTACCTCCCCTTTCTTGAACTTTGCAAGGTACGCCGTGCGCGTGGGAGAGGCCTTCTTACATTGTTTAAGAAGGTTCTGAGCACTTCTCGTGGCATGAGAGCCACACGTCAAACAAATGTAATTACCTTTAGCCGAGAACACCATGTCATGTGGTGGGTCTACGAAACACGCGCCAATCTACACATTCTGAATCTGCTTGGCCCCCTCGTGCCCCGCGCGGGGTCTCGAAGCAAGGCAGGGGGTGGCCAGAAACTCCTGAGACGGGATACTACCATGAGAGTTCACGGAAATGACAGAACAGCGGGAGGAGAGGAGGAGGGGGAGGAGGGGAGGAGGAGGAGGAGGAGGAGAGGAGGAGGAGGAGGAGGGAGGAGGAGGAGGAGGACCTCCTCCTCCCTCCTCCTCCTCCTCCCTCCTCCTCCTCCTCCTCCTCCTCCTCCTCCTCCTCCTCCTCCTCCTCCCTCCTCCTCCTCCTCCTCCTCCTCCTCCTCATCCTCCTCCTCCTCCCCCTCCTCCTCCTCTCCTCCTCCTCCTCCTCCTCCGCCTCCTCCTCCTCCTCCTCCTCCTCCTCCTCCTCCTCCTCCTCCTCCTCCTCCCTCCTCCTCCTCCTCCTCCTCCTCCTCCTCCTCCTCCTCCTCCCTCCTCCTCCTCCTCCTCCTCCTCCTCCTCCTCCTCCTCCTCCTCCTCCTCCTCCTCCTCCTCCTCCCCCTCCTCCTCCTCCTCCTCGTCCTCGTCCTCCTCCTCCTCCTTCCTCCTCCGCCTCCTCCTCCTCCTCCTCCTCCGCCTCCTCCTCCTCCTCCTCCTTCTCCTCCTCCTCCTCCTCCTCCTCCTCCTCCTCCTCCTCCTCCTCCTCCTCCTCCTCCCCCTCCTCCGTCGGCACCTGCTCCGCGGGCGCCGCGCGGGGGTCGGCGAAGAGCACCCGGGCCAAGGCGGAACGCGGCGGCGGCGGCCGGGCGGCCGGGGAGGCACGCGAGGACGAGGACCGGATGCTTCAGGTGGCAACTCGTGGGAGCCTCCCATAGGAAGGCACCAACTATGCACCAACACCGATCCTGGCCAGGATAAGCCTGGGCCCAGGATCGGTGTATACGCCCTCCTGCCTTGCGCAAGAAGGCATATACACCGATCCTGGGCCCAGGGTGATCCTGGGCCAGGATCGGTGTTGGTGTATAGTTGGTGCCATCCGATCCCAAGCAAGACCCCCCTCGAGTCATGAAGCAAAACTCAGAACTGGAAGTTGCTGCTGGCTATGTTCGGCTTCCGGGGGCCCCTGCCGGCCCTCGGGACCGTCAAGAAACGACTCGGGACGAGAAGCCGGTCCTGGGGAATGGGTCGAGACCTCGCAGGGTCGACGCAATGACGAAATCATGGCGTCGGGGGTCTGGGCCCCCGGACCTGCGACGTCCTGCTTTTTTTTCAGGGCGGCGTCCCTGGGAGTCCCCATCCTCTCTCCGGGACCAGATGTTCGTCCTGACTCGTTGTTTGACGGTCCCGAGGCCCGGCGAGGGCCCCATAGGGCCGAAAATGGCCAACAGACCTCCCGTCCTGACTTCTGCCACCACGCGATCACGTCTGGGTCCCAAGCCAGACCCCCTCGGGCAACGAATCAATCACGACGGGCGTTTTTTGTTCCCAACCCTTCTTGGCTAGGTATTCGTTTTGAATGGAGCACTGCTCGCGCGTCCTTCCTTCCTCCCGCCTACCGCCTTCTGTCTCCCGCCTCCCGCCCCCCTTCCTTCCTGTCTCCTCTTGCCTTGCCTGGGGGGCTGAGATCTACAAAACTGTCGCCATGTTCGAGGGCTGCTGGGGGGTCCAGCGGAGTGAGGCACTGCGCGGCGAGAACTCTTCGTCCCTTGGGGGGCTGCGATCTGAGAAACTGTCGCCACTTTCGAGGGCTGCTGGTGGGTCCAGCGGAGTGAGGCACCGCGCGGATCTGAGCGGTGACCTCCCCGTCCCTGGGGGGCTGCGATCTGCGAAACTGTCGCCACTTTCGAGGGCTGCTGGTGGGTCCAGCGGAGTGAGGCACCGCGCGGATCTGAGCGAGACCTCCCCGTCCCTGGGGGTCTGCGATCTACGAAACTGTCGCCACTTTCGAGGGCTGCTGGTGGGTCCAGCGGAGTGAGGCACCGCGCGGATCTGAGCGGAGACCTCCCCGTCCCTGGGGGGCTGCGATCTGCGAAACTGTCGCCACTTTCGAGGGCTGCTGGTGGGTCCAGCGGAGTGAGGCACCGCGCGGATCTGAGCGAGACCTCCCCGTCCCTGGGGGGCTGCGATCTGCGAAACTGTCGCCACTTTCGAGGGCTGCTGGTGGGTCCAGCGGAGTGAGGCACCGCGCGGATCTGAGCGAGACCTCCCGTCCCTGGGGGTCTGCGATCTGCGAAACTATCGCCACTTTCGAGGGCTGCTGGTGGGTCCAGCGGAGTGAGGCACCGCGCGGATCTGAGCGAGATCTCCCCGTCCCTGGGGGTCTGCGATCTGAGAAACTGTCGCCACTCGCGAGGGCTGCTGGTAGGTCCAGCGGAGTGAGGCACCGCGCGGATCTGAGCGGTGACCTGCCCGTCCCTGGGGGGCTGCGATCTGCGACACTGTCGCCGCCTGCGAGGGCTGCTGGTGGGTCCAGCGGAGTTAGGCACCGCGCGGATCTGAGCGAGACCTCCCCGTCCCTGGGGGTCTGCGATCTGCGAAACTATCGCCACTTTCGAGAGCTGCTGGTGGGTCCAGCGGAGTGAGGCACCGCGCGGATCTGAGCGAGACCTCCCCGTCCCTGGGGGGCTGCGATCTGCAAAACTGTCGCCACTTTCGAGGGCTGCTGGGGGGTCCAGCGGAGTTAGGCACCGCGCGGATCTGAGCGAGACCTCCCCGTCCCTGGGAGTCTGCGATCTGCGAAATTATCGCCACTTTCGAGGGCTGCTGGTGGGTCCAGCGGAGTGAGGCACCGCGCGGATCTGAGCGAGACCTCCCCGTCCCGGGGGGGCTGCGATCTGAGAAACTGTCGCCACTTCGAAGGCTGCTGGTGGGCTCGCCACTTTCGAAGGCTGCTGGTGGGTCCAGCGGAGCGAGGCACTTCGCAGACCTGAGCGGGACCTCGCCGTCCCTGGGGGGCCGTGTCATGTTGTTGCTGCCCCGCCGACGTTTCAAGCCCCTTGCCCACCTTCCTTAGTGACTCAAGGGTTCACTTAGTTGCTCATCGTTTTTCCCTTGATTGGAGACCTGCGAACCTTCCGAATGCCGCTCGCAGAAATATATGCGTCCATGTTATGTCGCCGCCTTCTCGTCAAATCTCCCAAGCTACTCCTGCCCCGCATTGCGCAGGGGTTGGGTACGTCGCCAGGGTACTTTTCCTATATTGGTCTGTGGAGGCCCTGGCCGGCCCTCGGGGCCGTCGAAGAACAACCCAGGATGAATTATCCTGGCGGAGGACCCAACCATAAGCAATTGTTCCCTATGGGGCTCCCTATGGGGCCACGAAACGCTGCCCTGGGTGGGGGAACCGCATGCGAACTGCGCCAGCGGGGCGGGACTTCGATGGAGCTCCCGCTGGGGCCACGAAACGCTGCCCTGGACAGGGAAAACCGCATGCGAACTGCGCCACGGGAGCCTTCGGTGGAGCTCCCTATGGGGCCACGAAGCGCTGCCCTGGACGGGGGAGCCGCATGCGAACTGCGCCACTGGAGCCTTCGGTGGAGCTCCCTATGGGGTCACGAACCGTGTAAGGGGTGTGCCGGAATGGGTGCGGCGGGCGCATGCGAACGCAGCCACTGGGGCCTTCGGTGGAGCTCCCTATGGAGCCGCGAAACGCGTGAGGGGTGTGCCGAAATGGGCACGGTGGGCGCATGCGAACGCAGCCACTGGGGCCTTCGGTGGAGCTCCCTGTAGGGCCACGAAACGCGTGAGGGGTGCGCCGAAATGAATGCGGTGGGCGCATGATGACGATGATGATGGTGGGAGGAGGGAGGAGGGAGGAGGGGGAGGAGAAGATGAGGAAGGAGGGAACGCGGAGCACCGTCTCTTCAAAACGAGGACCCAACACCACAGGATGGCTGGGAACAACTGGTCCTGGGGAATGGTTCGAGACTTCGGGGGGTCGACGCTACGAACAAATCATGACGTCGGGTGTCTGGGGAGCCTCCCATACCATCTTGCTGGCTCTTGCGAATCGACGCTCGTCGACGCTAAATCGACGCCAATCGTCGCTAGATCGACGCTCGAAGTCGGCACGCCTGTCGACGCTCATCGACGGAATCAAGAAGAAGGTACTGTAGGTTCCCATGATTTGCCACCGAAGGACGGGGCCGTCCGAGAAGAGGGCGTGGTAGTGCTGGCACACCAGCCCCGGCTCGGCCCGCGCCCTGTTGGGCGTCGCTTGACCAGAGGCCCGACGCTCCAACAAGAGTTGAAGCGGTAGATGTGGTGCCATTTTCGGCCTCGGGGGGCCTTCGCTGGGCCTCGGGAGCGTGAAAAAACAACCCGGGACGAAAAACGCCCTATAGGGAAGTAGTCCGGATCTCCTGGGCCCACGCATCGAACAACTTTTTGGGTGACCCAAAAGGGGGTCCAACTGAAACGGGGTGGTGCAATAGATTTGGGGCAATCGTATTGCAAATGCAATGCGCCGGAGCATTGTGTTGCATTGTATTGCAAGTAATGTACTGTAAGCGAAAATCCAGCAATACATTTGCGCCCCGGATTGCACGCCCCAACTGCATTGCAACCCCACAAATCCATTGCACCAGATCTATTGCACCACCTCCTTGTCGCTGGACCCCCTTTTGGGTTGACCCGAAAACTTGGAGCAGCCAGATGTCTGGGCAGTGGGGGGCGATACGCGATCGAGTGCTGCCAGAAGCGGCCCTGGCCCAAGGTGCCCCTAACTTTTCGCTGCCCCTGAGGCCGTCTGGACCTCGTACGGGTTGCTGTGGAGGCCGTGGCAGCCTCCTTGGAAATCCTGGGGCCCCCCCTGGGCCAGGGGCACCTTCTGGCAGCACCCAAAACGGGGTGGGGGGAAGAGCACTGTGCAAGTCCTACAGGCCCCCTCAGGCTCTGGGGCCCCAAAGTTAGGTCGGCGTGTCTCCCTACAGGCGGATTTGGAGGACAAATAAAAACAGTCAAAAATACTCAAACATGATCCGGAATAGTAAACCAAGTCGTGCCCACATATTATGTTTGGACTATTTTTGATTATTCCTCCTGTAGAGGGACACGTCCGACTTACCTCTGGGGCCCCAGTGGGCCCCTTCTCTCTGCGGGCCTCGCTGCCCACCCCACGTTAACTGTTGTCCTCTGGGGCCCCAGTGGGCCCCTTCTCTCCTGCGGTGGTTTGGACTATTTTTGATTATTCCTCCTGTGTCCGACTTACCTCTGGGGCCCCAGTGGGCCCCTTCTCTCTGCGGGCCTCGCTGCCCACCCCCCTTAACTGTTGCCCCCCCCCCCCCCCCCTTTACGCGACGCCTTGCCTGATGCACCTGGCAAGGCCCCCGGTCCACTCGGCGAGGCCGATGGTGCCCGAGCAGTTGTGGTCGAGCGCGCAGAAGAGCCGCTCCGCCAGCGGGCCCGGCAGGGAGGGCAGGGCCTCCCGGAAGGCGCCCGCGTCCACCACGCTGAGCTTCGACCGCGCCGCCGCGTCCCGCCACGCCGACCTGAGGTCAACCACGAGCCTCTCGTCGTCTTCCCCGATCTCCATGCAGATGCGCCGGATCTCGGCCACGTCCTCGCGCTCGATCGCGCTCAGCGTCCGGGTGATGTCGCCCAGGCAGCCTGCGGACGGCTCCCTCCCCAGCTGCGTGCCGAGGAGCTGCTCCATGTCGAAGACCCACCCGAGCAGCGGGGAGTCGATGTGCTCCGCGGCCCACGAGGCGAAGCGCTCGGCGTCCACGGAGAGCCCCTCCCGACCCGCCAGCTGATAGTGCCCCATGGCCTCCGAGACCCCCGGAAACAGCGCCTCCTTGATGGGCACATGTCCCACCACCACCAACACATACAGGAGAGGGAGGAGGAGAGGGAGGAGGAGGAGGAGGAGGAGGAGGAGGAGGAGGAGGAGGAGGAGGAGGAGGAGGAGGAGGAGGAGGAGGAGAGACACCTCCTCATCCTCCCGTCTCACCCCCGCCCTACATGCGGCAATGGTAGTGGAACACTGGCCCCTCACTCCCGGTCACGACCGGCCGCGTCGAAGACCTCGAACAGCAGGCGCACCCTCTCCTCGACGGTGCCGCACCGCAGCACCGCCAGGCCGCACACGAGCTCGTCGGCGGAGAGGTGGCCGCGGCCGCGCGCGTCGAGGGCGCCGAAGAGGGCCCGCGCGAGGGCGTCCGGCACGTCGGACGCGCCGTAGAGGGACCTCAAGACGCCGGTCTTGAAGTGGACCTCGCGCAGGTGCTCGCCAGACACCTCGAGAAGCGATGTGCGGCAGGGCCGTGTCGTGACGACCTAGGCGCTGGTGTCTGACACCGCGAGGTTCGTGCAGCCTTGAACGATCGGCGACTTGTGTCGATCGCCAGATCGCTCCACCTGGAACCTCCGCGGCGGGGCCGCCGTCACGTCGACACGACGCGGACCTGCCGTAATTACACGGTCGAACATTGGCCACAAGGACGCAGGTCAAGGACGCGAGCCCCGCCGCAGAAGCCCCAAAGCTCCATGGAGGTACCCCAAACGAAGATCAGTCCACGGTCCAGAGCCCAAACTCGGCGGCGAGCGAGGGGGAAATGAGAAGGAGAAGTTGAAGGCCTTGTCAGAAGGCGGCGGGGCTCCTTAGAAGCCATCGCGCCTTCTGAGAAGTCTCCTGCGTCTCCCGGAAAGGCTCGGAACACCTCTCAGAAGGCCGGGAGACTCCCGAGCCTTCTGAAGAGGCCCGCCCCTCCTCGCTCCCCCCGGCACCGCAGCGCCGGGCACGCGAAACGTGTGCGAAGCTGGGGACATCAGCACAAACCCGAACCGTGCCAGCTGTAGACGAGAAGAGCAAACGTACGCCCGGGAGGCAGCAGAGGCCCCAGACGGCCCAAGTGCACGACACAGGACAGCCACAGGACAGGCTCGCATGCTGCACCGAAAGGGGGGGAGGGCCGCTCGGGAGTTCGGGAGACCACGCTTGGCGGCGCGCAGAAGGGGCTATAGGGGGAGGGGGCAAGGCTTCTTACAAGAAGGCTGCTTCTTGGAAGGCGCGTGCCTTACAGAATGGAGAAGGCCCGCGCCTTCTAAGAAGCAGGGGTGCTTCTAAGAAGCCTTCCCCCCTCCCCCCGCCCCCCCTCCTGCGCGTGGCCGGCACGTGCGGGAAACCGCTCGGGGGAGCCCGCGAGACGCCCGTGCGGGAGCACGGGCGGGAGGCCGTGCGGGAGAGGCCGTGCGGGAGACCCTGGCGGGAGGCTGCGTGCGGGAGGGCCCGCGGGAGGGCACCGCGCGGGGCACCGCGCGGGGAGGCCACGCGGGGAGGCCACGCGGGGCACGGGAAGCCGTCGGGCCACCGAGCCCGCGGCGGGGGACTGCTTGCCAGCCCAGGACAGATCCCTGTCCCCATGTTGGGCATCGCCTCGTCACGATGGCGATCTTGGGGATTCCCCCCGTTTCTGAGGGTGCATCCCTAAGATTGTCCTCCCCTTTCGGCGTGTCGATCCCAGGGATAGGGACAAGCTCGAGGCTGGCGAGCTGAGCAATGCGGGAGGCCATGCGCGGAGCTGTGCCGGAGACCATCACACTTCCCGGGGGCGGGGAGAATAGAAGAAGAATTAGACACAGACACATAAACTGGGGGCGCTTCGCGCGGATTTCTTGGATCTGCGTCTGGGCGCCGCTCGGGGGCCAGACGCGGATCCAAGAACTCCGCGCGCAGCGCCAGGTGTTTTATGTTTATGTGTTTTTTCTTCTTCGAGGGAACGAACCTCCCGGGCCTTCTTACGAGCAGCCCTTACAGACGATCTGTTCAGGAAGCTGCATCAACATAAACGTTTAGAGGACAGCGCGGACTTTCCAGGTCGGCGCTGGACCCCCATGGCGGGAGGGGGAAGTTCAAGCGCCAATCCGAGCAATACATACGCGCCGAACTCCCAACGTTCATGACTACGGTCTCTCTTCTTCGTCAGATCCAGATGCTCGCGCGTGCAGCTACCTGCGTGCCTCGACACGCTTCAAGAACGCTACGTTGGGCACTCGCCACAAAGGCCTGCTGCTCGAAGCCCCGCAGACCGACGGCTGGGCCCAGGGGAGACGACAGGCGGGGCGGGCCTCCTCAGCCGGGGACCTGCTGACCCGCGTCGATCAAGACCCGTGTCCGTCAGGCGCTGCAGGCTCCTGCACCCAAACCCGGGTCACAGCACCCTGGCCCTGCAGGATCCCTGAGATCCGATGTCGTGATTTTTTCAATGCGGGGTTCCCGGAAGTCTCGACCCATTCCTCAGGACCGGTTTTTCATCCTGAGTCGTTTATTGACGGTCCCGAGGCTCGGCGAGGACCCGAAGGGGCCGAAATTTGCGAAAAAACTCCGTCCTGATTTTTGTCAATACGTTGGATATCTGGGATCCTGCAAAAGCCGGCGCTCCGACTGTCACCCGCTTGCACCGACCCCGTCTCCAAGGAGCCCCGGCTCGGAGGGCGCTTGGCCCGGCAGGCCTCCGGCCTGCCGAGAAGCTGGCCGGAGCTGCCTCCGAGGCCACGGACCCGCCACCGCCCGAGGCGGCCCGAGAAGTGGCCTCCCGCCGAATCCACGGAGTATACGTAGATTGATCCATCCGTCCTCGAACGCGCGGCGAGTTTTGCGTGTGTGTGTGTGTGTGTGAACTTGACGAGGAAGCCGATTTGGGGGGCAGATCGATTCTGCAGGTTGATCCCCTAGGGGAAGACGCACCAGCAACATGCACCACGACGCCAGCGATGCACGTTTTTTTAATGTGAACGG